CTAAATTTTCTAGAGGGTTTTCTAGTATTATTGCTAAGTCATCCGCATATGCTTGGACCTTGAATTCTTCTCCTCTAATTTTAAGTCCTTTAATTCCCTCATTGTCTCTTATCTGTCTGTTCAAGATTTCCAATGTTAAAATAAATAATAGAGGGGATAACGGACATCCCTGTCTTGTGCCTTGTTCAATCTCTATATTTCCAGTTAGATTACCGTTGATTTTAATCCTGGCTTCTTGTTTGGTATAAATTGCCTTGATTATTTGTGGAAATGTTCCTTTCATTTCAATTTTCTTTAGTTGCAGCAGTGTAAACTCCCAGGTAATATTATCAAAGGCTTTCTCTGCATCAAGAAAAATTAACATCATCTGCTTTTCTGAATGCATTTCATAATATTCCAAAGTGCCTATAGTTTCCTTTTGGGTATAAAACCTGTTTGATCTTTGTATATTATTTCTTGAAGTACCTCCTTTAGCCTTGTTGCCCAGATGGTTGTAAAGATCTTATAACTGATGTTTAAGAGAGAGATCGGTCTGTAGTTCTTAATTTGATTTTTCTCCGTCCCCTCCTTATGTATTAAAGAAATATATGCCCCTTTCCTTGAGTTTGGAATTTCCCCTTTGATCTCAATATCTTCAATTAGCTTCTTAAATTGTGGACTTAAATTTTCTTCAAATGCCTTATAGTGTTCAGCAGGCAGTCCATCTGGGCCAGGGGATTTCCCACTTTTTTATTTTTTTCCACGCTTCTCCAATCTCATTCATTGTGATTGGTTTGTTTAATTTATCCAGTTGTTGACAGTTGAGACTCCATGCTGGAATTCTATTCAGGTAATTCATTTGTTTCTCTTGTTCTATCTCTCTTTTTTTGTAGAGTCCAGCATAAAATTTTTGAATTTCTTTCTCAATCTCCTTTTGTTTATATATTTCCTTCCCTTGCTTATAAAGCATTACAGTGATCACTGTTTTTCTCTCTCTCTTTTTATTCTATATGCTAACCATCTTCCTGGTTTGTTTGCATTTTCAAAAAAGTTTTGCCTTGTTTCATGTTTTGTCAGTTTAAATCCACCTGTCATCCAGAAACATTTCCCCTAAAATGCTATTATCCAAAGAAACTAGAAATTAAGGACTGTCTACTATCTTACTGAACATCAATGAAAAAACTGAATGATATGCAGCAGAATAATGAGAAATATATCTGAGAAATAACTCTGTATGTGTGTGGGGGGGCGGGGTGGGATTAAACTTCTGAATGTTCCATAGCTTTAAAAAGAGAGAGAAACAACTAAGGGACAACTAGCATTGGAGGCAGGATTGAACTTAAACCTCTTTTTCCTGGTGAGCTATTTTTCATTTATCTACTTAGATTGTTTACAGCTTATAGTACCCTGCCTGCAGTCCACTCACTGCCTCATTCTGTTGTGTGTGTGGGCTGGAATTGGCAAGAAGCTTCCAAGACATCCAAGAATGTGGCTTTATTACAGAAACTACGACACAGTATATTTATCAATTAGCTAAATTTACTTATACTCTATGCCAGAGCAGATGTAAGAGCTGTTATGTATGACTAATAATCCAAGGCACAG